AGAACCCGGCCCTTGTTGCTGCCAACTAGATGGGCAGAAGGGTTACACTTGTTAATCCCCGAAAAGAAATTTTTTTGCTTGGCAAATGCTGCTTTAAGTTGCTGAACTTTTTCCTCTCGAATTTTTCCGGTGAATGCTTCATATTTTTCACGGTGCATCGTGTCGTACTGCCAAGGCACATTATACTCCTTGGGAACAGCAATCGTTTGCTGACAAATAAGGCATTGAATTTTATCTTTTACCTCTGTGAAAAAATATAAATTCTCCCATTTGTCTTGGAAAACTCTCTTTTCTTCCATGAGTGTTCTTTTTTCTGACGAAGTCATTTCCAAGCGGTTTTAATAAAATATATACACTCAGTGATGCACCTCAATCAAAGGACAAAACACGCACTTAGTTAGATTTGCTTCTGTTAATGCCCCCCCTCCCCACCCCTGCACTGGGCTGCACCACCACTCCACCCCTGCTCCGCCATGCTGGGAAATGTAGCCTCGCTCCTGCCATTGTTCAACCCCCACCCGCCCAATCTACAGCCTGGCCCGGCCCTGTTACCCCTGCCCCCACCCCTGTGGCACTCCCCCGTGGTGCCCTATGGCGTCCCTGCCCCACCCCCCCACAGCCCATTTACCAAGCTCCTGGAATCCCCATGTTGTTGCCTGGGAACCCCTTGGCCACGGTGCTGGGCAGGGGTCACAGGGCTGCTCCCCTCCTGCTCTGCCCAGGGCTAGCGCCAGGCCAAGCCGCCTGCGCATGCTGCCCAGGGCAGAGATCCAGTCCATTACTGTGTGGCTCTCCAGGCTCCGCCCCTCGGTGGGCAGGGACTGTGCTGGCTCCTCCTTCCTGGGGGTGACAGAGCAGTGGCCTGCGTCACTGCCAGGACAAGGCGCAGACATGACCCTGCCGCTGTCCCATGGCATGAATCAGTTGCCAGAGCCGACATCGAAATCAGCATCGGCCCCGAGCAGCAGAGTTGGCACATCCTGGAGCTGAGCGGGGCAGGTCACACCTCCCCTAGCTGAGTGGGGCCAAGCTCTCCAGCTGCCCAGGCAGACGTCCCTGCACTGGTTACGCTATAGGCACTTTGGGATCTTTTCCACACACCCAGGCCGCTAGAGACGGACTTTTTAAAGCAATGAATGCCGAGACTGTGAGAAGAGCCAGCAGCTGGAGAGGGGTGGGGGCATGGCACCCGTTGACTCAGAGCCCTGGCACCACAGCAGTGGGCACCAGGCTGGGCGGCCCCAGATTTGGCCCTGAAGGAAACCACAGAGCCATCAGAGCACGAGGGAATTGAGGGAGGAGCTGTAAGCCAGGAAGGGTCAAAAAGGAAAACCAGCTCTCCCTCGTCCAGCTCATGGGCCTCGCTGCCCACCTGCATGGCCAGCAGGTCCAGCAGGCATTGGGCCACGGTGGGCGAGGGGCTGAGCGCTGGCCTCAGCCAGCGCTGGTGCTGCTTGAGCAGCTCGCAGGCGTTGACGTTGCGGGCCGTCTCAAAGGCCCAGAACTGCACCCACATCTCGCTGCGCAGCTGCCAATGGCGCCGGAAGTAGCGCACGAAGTGCTGGGGGAGAATGGCCTTCATCTCCTGCACTGCCTGCTGGTAGGCGGCCGGCGACGTGGCTGCAGCCAGCCGGCAGAGCAGGGGCCAGATGCGCTCATCTTCGGCGGCACCCAGCTCCTGCGCCTTGCTGAAGAGTGTCTCCAGCACCTGGGAGCGACAGATCTGCACGCGGGCATTGGGCAGCAGCTCCTTCACCGCCTCCAGGTGGGTGATCTCCACGCCCAGCGTGATGCACCGCACCTGCAGCTTGATCTCAGGCACGCTCTGCACCAGCGAGGCCAGCGTGAAGCGCAGCAGGTCGGGTGTCTCCCGCTGCGTCACGCAGTAGGCCACCTCGCGGCCGCGCCCCACCCCGTCCACACACAGCACCGAATACAGGTCAAACTCCTCGTTCAGCCCCACCAAGAACAGCATGAGCGGGAAGCGCCGGCTCAGCGCCATCATGCGCGAGCTCAGGAAGAAGATGGTCTGGACGATGACCTTGTCCTCCATGAGGACTTGGCGCTGGGGTTGCTGGCGAAGAGCCCGTCCAGCACCCCGTGGTCACGGCTCTTGCAGTAGGAAAGCAGGCGCTGCACGTCCGCCCCCCCCCCCCAAACTGCTTGGAGATCGTGGTGGTGGTGCGCACCGGCAGGCATGAGTTGGCCATCAGGTAGCCCTTCTTGAAGTAGTAGGCAAACTCGATGGGGCACAGGGCGTGGTTGTGGGCCAGCTGGCACTCGGTGACGATCAGCCGGTCCTTCTTGGGGCTCATCGTCAGCACAATGCTGGCGCAGCAGCCCTTGTGCTGCCCCCCGTGGGCAGAGAGAGAGGCTGAGGAGGCTGGGACCCCAGCACACGCCTCACCCATGGGCCAGGAGGCAGCTGTGGGAGCTGGCAGAGCGGGGCCCATGCTCACCCCATGCCTGGCGGGTGAGCACGTTCTACTATTCGAGCAGGTTGAGGCAAGGGGTGGACCTCAATGCTCCTCGAAAAGGAACGGGGCCATTTTTGCCCAAAGATGGGATTTGAAGCACAGCATAGAAAGCCCACGCTGTCCCCAAAGCAGTAACACTGGACGAAGACAAGGGAGCAGGCAAATCCCAACGGCATGGTATTGGAATCAACATCCACCAGGAACCTCAGGTATGCATTTCAAAATTCAGCAGCAGCTGGCTCGTTAGCAACCCGTGTAACCAGGATCCCATCCCCTGTTCTCCACTCCCACCTCTGGCTCTCTGTGGAACACGGCCTCAAATTTAAAGTCTTAGCCTTTATTTTCAAGGCCCTGACGGTCTGGGAGCAGGACACCTAGAAGTCCACCTCCAGCTTCAGCCAGTTGCCATGGACAGTTCTGCTCTGACACAATGGAGCAGTCTACACCCAAGGGACAACCAGTGTGCACGGGAGACACTGGTGTCTTCAGGGATGGCCCAGGACTGTGGGATCCTGCCAAAACTCAGGACAACAAATATAGTCCTACTATCAGACTCATCTTCAGTGTTGTGTTCCCCCTAAGCACGTCATGGCTGCAGCATGGGAATCAAACTAGAAAACTGCTGTCCCTATCTCTATCGAAAGGGATTAATCAGCCTTAACGTTCAAACCCTGATGGTATCTAAGTCCATCCAGCATCTCCTGGAGGAATCAGCTGCTGCTGCAGTCATGGCAACAACAAAACTGAAGCACACCTGAGTTCTGGTGGCAGGGAGGAGTCCCCTCAAGAAGCTAATGACCTTAATGCCGAAGTAGGAGGGCATGTTTGTTTTGAATAGCAGTGGCACATTGTGTTACAAGAATCGACTTGTTAACAACAAGGCATGAGGCTCCTTGGCTCCGAGCACAGACACGGCTGGTATGCACACCGCCGAGCCCGGGTGGGGTGTGTTTGCCACAGGCTCAGCACAATTCCAGACAAATTGCTCTTGTGCAGCCTGTGCAAAAAAAGCTGCAGGGAGGGAGAGGACTGATTCCCCGCTTCTTGGGCCTCTTCCCTCCCCAGGAGAAATTGGCCATTATTTCATTGGGGATTAGAAATATCTGAGATGCCGAATTACCTCCATTATGTACTAACGGCAGAACGGCAACTGAGAACCCCGGCCCCAGACTCAAAGCCACTGTCCGGCTGACCAGCTGCGACCTGTTTGTTACTTACGAGTGCCCAAAGGGGGGGCTGAGGCCCTGCCCAGCAATGAGATGTGATCCCAGCGCCCAAGAGCTTACGATCTGAAACCCTTATCCTGCAGCCAGATCCACGCAGGCAACGGAGCCCCACCTGAGCCCAAGAGTCCAGAGCCAGCTGCAGGATCAGGGCCTAAATTCAGACCTAACAAGTGAGGCTCGTAAGAAAAAAAGGGACGGAGGGAGGGGGGAGAGAGGGATGAAATAGGGGGAACCATGAGGAGATCAGGTGGTTAATCAATAAGACACTCAATTAGGGCTTTTAACAATTGTTCGCAGGCCTCTCCTAGGGGAGACATCGAGGGAGGTGTTTGGGGTGAATGGGTTTTGGGAGACTGCCTCAAGCAGGGGGCAAAGATCACAGATGGCACAATGGTAGCAGGGGGAGGGGAAAAGAAGTCCAGGGTGGAGATGTAGAGGCCGAATGGCCTAAAGGCCTTCAAAGCAGGCCAGGATGCTTGGGCTCGCTGCCTAGGACAACGGGGAGCCCAGTGGAGCTGGTCACACGGGACTGTTGATTAGGGACACAGCGACTGGGATAGACTGGAAGGGGCAGGCCAGCCGGGGAGATTGCCGTAATTGAGACAGCAGGGAATGGATGAGCAATTTCGCCAAGAGGAAGGAAAGGAGCGGGCACCGTTCAATTGGCCATTGGGCTCAGTGCTGGTCTTGAAACGTTCAGAGCAGGCAGAGGGAGGGTCAATCTCAGGAGTTCAGCCTTTTCGTATTCACCCTGATCTCCAGCCCACGCACCCGCCTGCTGTTCATCTCCCCCCAGCCACAGCACGGTCATTGTACGTCAAAGCTGCAGCCTCCTACGACTCGAGGACGGAAGTTACTGCACTCACAGGGTTGTCACAACTTTCATCTCCCAATAGGCTGGGGGGCATTGCAAACAGCCCAGCCACGGCCCGGACTGCTCTTTGCCAGGCCAGTCAGAAGGGTGTGCTGCTGTCACGCCCTTGCCTGGCCAGGTGGCCACTCGGCTACAGATCAGCTCACACAGCCTTAGACATTAGAACCTGCTCCCCTCGGGCCAGGACAGCAAGATTATCATCCCAGGTGCTCGAATTGCCATCCGAAGCATTCTGCAGGCAAGGGCAGAAGAGAGCCCGGCCTGAGTCTCACCTGGTCGATGGTACCTCGAACGGCAGCCAGCAGGCCAGGCCACGCTTGCATGGCGGAGACGCAGTCTGCAGGGCCTGCTCTGGCGCAGGAACTACTTGCTAAGTGTGTGTGTCCCCAGGACGGATTTAAGCCCTCACCCTTGCACAGCAATAACCGAACTATCGGACAGCTGTCATGGCAGATTGTCCTGGCTGCGCCACACCCTCTCGAGCTACCCCTTCCCCAATACACCACCCCAGCCACACAAATAAAGATGCACCTTCCTTCCCTCCCCCACCACTGTGACATGCGCGTGCACCCCCCCAACCAGGAGAAGCTGGAGCTGAGGTACAGTTCAGTAATTTAAGGGCATGAAACATCACAGGGATGTTGTAATTATCCCAGAACTGAGCATCAGAACACCAGGAAAGTCAGCATTAAGCTTAATTTAAAAGAAATCAAACTATGTTAAGGTATGAAAAGACAAGTTAGGGACCCCAAGCAACCTTAACTCTGCCCAGTAATGCCATTCGGGGTTGAGGGAAGAGAACGAAAACTGCATCTATCAATTTCATCTAATATTGGAGGACAAACTAAAATGTCTTAATTATAACCATATGCTTATTGCATAGCATCACTAGAGGGCAGCATGGACTTTTTAGTCTGTGGCTGTACAGCACCTAGCACACAGGTGTGCTGGTCCACATTTGGAGCTCCTAGCCCCTATGGAAATAGGAATAATAAACGGCAATATAATGGAAATCTTAGAAGTCCTAGTGCAGACAAGGTCTCAGCCAGTTGCTAAAACTGGTGCTGAATTCCCACTGGGGAGGTTGACAGTGTCTCTTCAGTTCCTGTCCTAAAATACACAAGGAACGGGGGAGGGATAGCTCAGTGGTTTGAGCATTGGCCTGCTAAACCCAGGGTTGTGAGTTCAATCCTTGAGGGGGCCACTTAGGTATCTGGGGCAAAATCAGTACTTGGTCCTGCTAGTGAAGGCAGGGGGCTGGACTCGATGACCTTTCAAGGTCCCTTCCAGTTCTAGGGGATAGGATAAAATGTTGTGCAGGGCTGCTATTTGCTACTAAACAGCTGCCACGTTCCACCCCAGAGGTGGCTGCATTTCAGTGCTGGGTGAAGTGAAACCTAAGGATATAGACACACACTCATGGACAACTTTGTATATCCGTTAGTAAAGTGCTTTGGGTGGGAAGCATCATCAAAATGTCACCCATTCAGTAATTCTATTGGCTTAGCACAGACCAAACTGGAACCTGAGAGTCGTGCAGGGAGTGGTCTTGTGTGCTCACGTGAAGGCAGAATTTGGACTCCCAACATTCAGATCCTCAAAATGCTCCAAATCGCAAGGCAGTTCAGGCTGCAACCAGCAGCAGCCATCAGAAATACACAGAGACATCCCTCGCAGGTGCTTTAAAGCAAGTGCCCACATAAAACACAACAGCAGTGTTGGCGACAGTTTTAAAAATCCTCAGATTTTATTCCCCCCCTCTCCATTGTTTGTAACAACTTCTCCCATTCAAAAGCTTACAACTAACATTTCCTTATCCAGCAGGTTTCTAGTGAATCAGGAAGTTTTCCTCCCTCACCTTAAAGGAGGCTGAAATCTACAGAGATCACCCCCCTTGTCCCCACTCTGTGGCCCAGTTGCATTGATGCTAGCACAGCTCCAAGGGTAGTGTTGAGCAGTGGGTAGGACCTACACAAACAGTGGTGATCATCTGTTCTTCCAATTACAGGCAAGGGTAGTGTGGATTTAAAAAAAAGAGAGCATAAAACATCAGGGCATTTCACACTCCATTGCATGGACTGCAAAGCAAGACAAATCTAGGACCTAAAATACTTGAGGGTGAGGGACACGTTTTCAAAACACACTGTTCCTTGTGCATGCAAGTGCTCAATCTGCATGTGCGGTTATCTGTTTGCACTGCTCAAATGCTGACAGCCTGGCCCTACATGTTTACAGAAAGGCCATGGCTGTTTAAGACTGCAACCACATTTGGTTATTAGTTATTTAGTCAGAAGAGGCTGGTGCCTTCTGAGGGCAGGTGAACAAAGACCAGGGCCAAATTCTGACCTCACTTAATCTGGTGTGTAGCTGGAGTAATGGCACCTGTTTAACTGAGAGCAGAATTCAGTTCCCAGCTGAAGGGCAGAAGCTGGCATCGATTGTACTGTATATGACCCGCAACAAGGATGGCAGAACCCATCCTGCCTCCCTGAACAGAAGAGAGATAGCACCATGTGTATATTACCCCAGCTACCCCCATCCTGCTAGGCAGGGGGAGCAAGGGCAGGGGAGGGAGCCGTCTAAACAGGGGAACAGAGCAGTAATCTGTCACAGAGAGAGGGGCACAGGACTGCAAGAGCCTTCAGCCACGTGCTCTGCACCGGGGGGCCTGGCTGGGATACCTACAGCAAATCAGACCAGTTCTCAGGCACTTTGTAACAGGTGGCATCAGTCCAACGACTAAGAGAACAGGATCCGGGCACGCCAAGGTCCTGTTCCAGCCTCCCATGGGTCAGAGCCAACGGGAGGGGTTAAGGCAGAAGGAGTTGTGCTTCCCTGGATTAGCCCGCGACAAGGAGGAGCCGCTGCTAAGGGCCAGGGATGTGTTGACCTATGGTGCCCAGTGACGGCTTTGCTGAAGAGGGCGCATTTCCGCTTCTGTCCACTAGCAGGCCAGCACCAGTGCAACAGACGTAGCGCCCCCAGCAGGTGTCAGTCACTCAGGGGCAGGCCCCAAATCTGGTTGGGGGAGTAGAAGATACAGGGTTAAACCAAAGAGGAGCCAGAAGTCACCCCCAGATCTGTCTCCCCCCCCCCACCCCCCAAATACTTTGGCAGCCAGGGTGGGGGATCCAGGTCTGATTGGCATGTCCTGAGCCCGTCTCCAGCGTACAGCCCCGCAGCCGCAGGTGGCCCCACGGAGTGCGGTGCAGGGCCGTGGACGGCTCCCGAGGTAGATGCTCGATTTACAATCCCTTGTTAAAATAGACGTAAGGCACGCAGTCCCCGTGCTTGGCCTGGATGGAGGCTCGGAGCTCCGGCTCCAGGCTAGACAGCGCCAGAGAGCTGCAGGGAGAGGAGACGGACAGTCAGGCTTTGATTTGCTCTGCACTTCTTTTCCCTGACCCTGTTGGAAGTGTCCTTGGTCTGGGTAGGGCCTTCTCTCCAGCTGGCCGGGGGGTGGGGTGGGCAGGAGGCAGGCCTTCTGCAGCCAGATCTTAACAGTGGCCATGGAAGCAAGTCACCGGCTAATATGAGCTACTCTCAGGGCAGGCAACAGAGTGCACAAACCTGGGGAAACCAGCCCCCTCCCAGGCCCCAATCCCAGGGCATGGGGCAGAGCGCACAGACCCGGGGAATCCAGCCCCCTCCCAGGCCCCAATCCCAGGGCAGGGGGCAGAGCGCACAGACCCGGGGAATCCAGCCCCCTCCTGGGCCCCAATCCCAGGGCAGGTGGCAGAGCACAGAGACGGGGACTCATGTCCCCCATTCCCCCACTCAGGACAGAGCGCACAGCGTGGGGATTAGCATCTGTGCACAGGTCAAACCCTTCGGAAGGGCAGCGCTGGCTGCAAGCCCTCAAGATGACCAAGTTCCCAGGGACAGGCCAGGCCTGTCCAGAAGATGCCCGCGCCCCCCCGGGGTATGCAGAGGATAGCTCGGGAGAGGGGTTCTCAGGGGGGGAGAAGCAGCGCAGCTGGTACCATCTCTGTGGGAACAGCGAGCAGGCAACCGGCACCATGAACAGGAGGCTGCAGGACAGAGAAAACCCAAGCGTTACTGGCGACAACTCAACGTCCGCTCTAGGATCAAGAGCCAACCCTGGGTGACACTGACAGCCCCCGTAAGTCACCTCTCCTGGGGGGTGCAAAGCCGAGAGCTGGACCCCTCGCCGTCATCCGAGCTCCCACAAGGTGGGGAGTTAGCCCTGGGGAATCCTTGCTCCGCTCCCCACCTCCTCTCCTCAAAGGCCCCAGCGTGGCTTGTGGCATGCCAGCTAAGTGGCCAGGCACAGTGGCTGGCTGATTTCAGTGCTGGTTGGCGTGATCTAGCTCTGCACCCCAGTAGAGCACCCTGGGGGTTGCTCTGGTGAATGTCACTTTGGTGCGGGGGCCAACGTTCAGTTCCCAGCCGGGCTGGTGAAGTCCAAGTTGCCTCATTAACACCAAGGTGCAGGCGAGCACGTTGCCCCGGACTCTCATACAAACACCAGCAAACTGGCCACCCACACTCAGCCCGGCAGAGCGGCTTCTCGCTCCGGAGCGTCCTTCCGTGCAGCTCTCTCCGGCAAGGTGGCTGAACTGGGAGTCCGGAGATCGGGGTTAAATTCCCAGCTCACACCCAGACTCGCAGTGGTATGTGACCTTGGGCAAATCTATCTTGTGCCTCAGTGTCCCCCAGCTGTAAAACAGGGATAATGCTTCTCTTCCTCCAGGAGACCCAGGGCTGATTTCACAAGACACTCCCATGCTACAGCTATGGGGGTTGGAAAAGCCGAGGGATGGACATGCCCAGTAGGATGAAGCCTGGGCCCCCAACCCCTGGTGCAGGGCAGGACCTCCCTTGTGGGGCCCCCTGTCCCAGTGGCAGACTGCTCCCTCTTCTGACTGTCACAACTGCTCCAGGCCCGATTCCCCAGAGTGCTGGCAACCCCTGGATTTCCCCTGAAGCTGGGGCAGCTCGGAGAGCGAGGGCCTACGGGAACCTGGGGGATGGTCCCTGACACGCCTCTGGAGAGCCCACAGCAGTTAGCATTGCTTGGGTCCAGGGGATTTAGACACAGAGGAGAGGGAATACCATTGGGGAAGGGACGGTCTAGCATCTGCTCCTTTGCAGCGTAGCAGGGACCCTGGGCTCAACCTTTACCAAGGGGGACCTTCTCCTTGGGTTAAAGATGGTCCTTCCCCCTTCCTCTGATCCACAGCATGGCAGTAGGGCCCAGTGTATTGCAGATCCTTGGTCTGCTCCTGATGCTTCTTTCTCCTTCACTTCTGGAGATCAGTCACACAAGGATTCAGCAGGGGCCTGTCTACATTAGGGATCGTCACGTGCTGTGCTGGAGTGAAGTGGGGCACGGCCCCCATGTGACTCAGCCGGGTTTCACTGGTGCCATTAAGGATGGGACAAGCACCCTACACCAGAGGAGCGAGCAGCTTCTCCTCCCCAGCTGTTGGGGCTTGTGATACAGAGGGAATGTCGTCTAGTGGTTAGAGCAGGGGATGGCCTCAGGATTCCTGGGTTCCATCGCCTAGTTCTGCCTCACTTTGCAGCGCTAGGCAAATCGCAAGCCCCCTCGCATTTGTGTGTCTGCTTCACCAGCTCTGAAATGGGGATGTAATAATTACCACCTGCCTCAAAGGAGCACTGGGAGAATCCACTAATGATTTATTATTACTACTGAGGTTCTTATCTGTGGCAGGGAAGCCCTGGACTCTGAGCTTGACAGAAGGTGGGAAAGGAAAGAGATTTTCAGAGTCCCTGCCTGGAAAGAGCCAGCTGTTTGCTCCTGTTAAGGCCAGACGCTGACTGGGTTCTTTAGAAGGTTGTTTTCTGAACCCAAAGCTGCAAGGCCAGAGCTGAGGAAGGGTGGCGGTTCGGGAAGGAAGATACTTACAAGCCCCCAGCCAGCATCACTTGTAAAGGCGCGTGGAGGACCTGAATTCTCTGCAAAGAAATCAGCCCAGGAGAAGGTGAGCCCGGAACGTCGTCCCTGAAGTTATCACAGTGAACGTCCAACCCAGCCAGGGGCAAAGGAAGTCTTTCCCCCAAGGAGCTCAACGTGCTTGGTGGATCTGTGACCAGATCTAGTCTGGCAAATCCTTTGTTCATATCCCCGATACCCACATGCTTTCTGGGGCCCCCTTAAGGTCATCTGGAGCTCCAGTGGGCCCCCATAACCCAAGAGGGCCAGCAGAGGCGGGGGAAACTGAGGAAAGCACAGGTGAGAACCCAACCCCTACAGAGGGTCTGGGGGGGGGGGCAAAGGGAGAAAAGAGGGGGTAACAGAGCCATGGGGAGGTCTGACTACCAGGAGAGGGGAGCTGGATATGGATGTGGACAGGATGCCACTGGAAGGGGATGATGGAGGAGGAACTCAGACCCTCCTGAACCACTCACCTTCATGAAGGGGAACTTCTCCAGCCGCTCCATGAGAATCGGCACAAGAACTAGCCAGAAAGAGAGAGAGGAGTCAGGATGTTATCAGCCCAGCCGCCCCATTCTCTGCCAGCCGAGCTCACTGAAGAGCCAGGGGCCAAGCAAGGCGAGATCCAACCACAAGGAAAAAGCTGTCATGGGAGGTCACCCCTTGAGATCTCCCTGCCTGGCTCCCAGTGGCCAGAGACACGCTTCGTGTCAGAGCCACCACACCCCTGCCAGTCGCTTACACCCAGGAGGGCCAACATCCCTGCCCCGGCTCACCTTCTGACTGGGGAGCAGAGCAAGCACCCCTGCTCCGAGCCAAGGGCAGGGAAAGGAAGGGGGCATCTCCTGTCGCTCTGCAGAGCCCCCTGGTGGCAGGTACCAGAGGGGCACCATGACCAGGGGAAGATTTCCATCCAGTGGCTGAGTCAAGGGGCCATCCAAGTGCGTGGGTGGTGGTGGAGGGGAGCTAAAGAACAAGGGTGTGGGGAATCCCCAGGGGCTGGAGGAGAAGGGAATGATCCTTTAGACCAAACAGGCAATACTTGGACTGTCTATACAATGCCTTCCATCAGAGGGTCTTGGCGCGCTCTGCAGACACAAAAACAAACCACCCCAAGAGGCAGGCACGCTGGCCATTGTACAGATGGGGAAACTGAGGCAGAAAGCGGTTCTGGGTGTCAGAGCCGGGACTAGGCCCCAGCCATCAGCAGTTCCCAACCTTCTACTCTACTGACTGGCATATCCTAGGCACCACCCTTTCTGCGCCCAAATGGCTCCCAGCCCTAGTTTTCTCCCTCCTCTGCCTCCCACCAGCCCATGTACTGGTGGGTTGCTTGGCTGGTTGCAGGCTGCCTCCTCTGTCTCCCCCCCAGATTGCGGGGGCAGTGTCGCTGGTGCTCACCCATGCCAGGCGCTGCCATGACGATCCTGGAGACCACCACCTGGGTAATCCCCTTGACCGCAGCGACCTAAAAAGCAAGAACAGTCAGCCAAGCCCCTCCAAGGGCTACATCTGATGGGGCAGTAACGTGACCAGCTGGGCTGGTGGGTGGCTGGGGGAGAGGGGGTGTCCAGGTCTGAAGCAGCTGTGTCATTTACTCCAGTCCCATCCCGCAACCCCCCCCCCCCCCCCCCCCGGGAACGTGAGCGAACACGGCTGGATTTGGCCTTGCGATGGCAGAGTTAGGATCAGAAAGTTGACAAGGCGGGGAGCTCAGACCTTTCTGCAGTTTGTCTCACGGGCCCCGCACCCCACCCCCGTTCCCGTGCCAGCTGCGGCATCAGCTTCCACGGAGACTCGATCCCAGAAAAGGATTCAATGTGTTTTCAGGCGGCTCGGCTTGCAGGATCGGGGCCACATGAGCAAAGCAGCCAGGCCATCAGAACCCATTGGCAACAGTCACCCCGCCCTGCTCCGCGACATACCCTGGAATGGCCCAGCTCACAGTCCTTCTCATCTGTCACCATGATCCCGTTAATGAGCTCCCTAAACACAAACAGGGAACCATGAGCACCTCAAACCCAGCCTCCTGGGTCACCCCATCCACCCCCCACGAAAAGAGGATGGGCCCTCCTCTCCTCCCCTCCAACAGGGCAGAATGGTCCACACCTTCCACCCCGCCCCGGCTTAGCACAACAGCCTCCCCTCCCCCCGACTCTAGGCCGCACCTACTCTACCTTTGCACAAGGGGCTGCAGACACCTCCAAAATTGGCTCCCTGGGGGTTTATAGGCTTTGGCCCTTGACCTTGGTGTTATCATGCAGCCCACTGCATTGTGGGTGTAAAATGCTACCCAGCTGGCAGGGCAGTCATCTGATCTGAGCGAGGAGAAGGCAGGGGGGCAATGGAGAATCGGGCCCTTTTCAAACCTTCTGCCACGTGGCCGAGAACCATGTGAACAAGGGCCGACGAGGAGGGCGGAAGGGTTGCAGTGTCTCTGTTTTTGTTGTGTGTTTGTACAGCACATACCACAGTGGGGTCCCGGCCCCATGAGTGGGGTCCCTGGGTGCTACAATGTGCCCTACCCCAAATCACCTGTGGCTCCCTCATTTATCATCTCTTTCCCTGGGTTGGAGCAGCACCCCAGGCTGGCATTACCCGCAATAACCCCAGCTAGACAGAGCATGGCATGGACATCTCCCACCCGGCTTGTCTGGCACAACTGATGCCCCTTCCCTGCACCCTACTGAAAGGTGCTACCCTAATTCAAACAGGAATTATTTCAGGGAGGGTCCCTGGCCTGCGTTACCCAGGAGGTCACACTCGCGGATCACAGGGGTCCCGCCTGGCCTTGGGATCTATGATCGTTCATAGGAAAGTAGAGTTTTGCCATGGTGACTAAGACTCCCGGCCTGTTTTTACCCATACAGACCACTTTGTGTTGGTCTTTATCCACTCCTGGCCCACCCCTCTGCTGCCAAATTCGTCAGAATAAAGCAGTTGCAACCACCCATAGCAAGACTCGCCCGTCAGTGTTTTAATACACGATTCCGACAACGTGTCCCAGTAAATCTCCGGCAGGGAGATCAGGTAACCGGCTCGGCCCCCTCGTCATCATCCCGATGCAGGATTTATCGCTAAACCCCAGGGCTGCCCTTCTCTGGCCACGAAACGGGCAGAGGGGGTGAAATGAACGGCTTGTGCAATGCTGCCACCTATGGGAGGCTGCTGGAAATAGCACCTACCCATCTCACAGGACCACTGCGGGAGCGTGGTGACAGCTCTGCTATCTGTTAATACCCCAGCCCCACCAGCCACTCCAAGTGCTGGAGAGCCACTGAAAAACCCTCCAGGGGAAAGGAGGATTTTGTCACTGAGAGACGCAGGTTTGGTTTTAAAGAGCTGGGAAAATCTGATCATCAATAACACACATCGGTCTAACCGCATAGTTCATGTGTTTCTATGGCGTCCATCCCCAGAGCATCTGGGCCCCTCATGGCAAACTAACCATCCACACGTACAAAGTCTCTCAGATACTGCCCCTCTACCTGCCCAATCACAGCCAGTCAGGTTTCTGCCGCAGTGGATTCATTAGACAGGCCGGCAGTAGATCAGACAGCCGCTGCAGAACCCCTGTTCCTTCAGCTCCACAGAGGCAGGCCTCTGCACATGGGCTAAGAGAGAACACCCCAGGATCACTCTACAGCAGGTGCCTTAGCCTCTAGGCCAGCCATTGGAAAGAAATTTTACACACACATCCTTGTGAGCACAGCGTCAGGCCTGCCACGCTATCGCGCAGCTGGACAAATAAAGGTCAAACTTGGATCAAGCTCACCAAGACCTCAGAACCTGGGTCCTGGTGCGTTATCAGAGGGAAAGAGCTGCCAGCAGGCCCTCGGCAGAGAACGCTCAGCTGCTGGTTCAGTAACCATAGCAGGAGCACCCCGGATGGCGTTAGCTGCCATACCCAATGCCATTATACATGTTAAGATAGAGACAACCAGGCCTCAAGCTTCAGGGCCACAGAGGTCAGGAAGGAAAGGCCCTCTTCTCTAGGTCTGTTTTGCCAGGTCCATCAAGGGGTTTTTCCCCTTCCTCTGAAGTGTCCGCTACATTGAAAGAGGCCAGATACAGGCCTTCATGGTCAGGTCCGGTCTGGCAACCCCCATGAACCAATGGTCCATCTAGTCCTGCATCCCGTCACCGATAGCAACCAGACACTGCAGAGGAAGATGCAAGGGCCTCCATGAAGGACGACCTCACAGCAACATGCCAATAGATCAACGTTTATTCTTAGCCTAGGCAGCCACCAGTTGGCGACGGTCCTCACGCAGGTGCGGGAGAGTTAAAGGGTTTAGGTTAAAAAGCCTCAAAGCAGAAAAGCCTAGAAAACAGACACTGAGAAGCCCTCACTTACTCACTGCCAGCAAGATTTGCTTACAAACACTACCTCACACGACCACTAGCGGGCCTTTTATACAGGCTCCTCCCCTGGGGCCTGTTTTCAGCAGCCTCTAAACAGCTACTCACAGCCCAGATGGGACATTAAAGGCAAAGATTGGTGTGTTTAAACCCGCCAATCAACAGCTGTTTTTACTCCTAAAACACCTGAGCCGTAGTCGGGCTCAGAATAACCCAGCCCAAACCCAAACCCCTAGCTACAAGTCAAGGCAGACGCTTCCCGTTTGGTCCTGCTGAGAGTTTAGAACGTGGGGGCGGCTCTCTCAGCCGCACAGGCAAGTGCTGGCTTTTAGGAATAATATCAAACATGTACATCAAGCTTTGTACAGTATCAAGAGCTGTCCAGACATTAACAACCTAGCTCAGTACCATCACACTGATGGGGAAACTGAGGCGGAGAGAGGGGAAGTGACCTGCCCTCACAGCAAGCTAGTGACAGACAAGAACAGAGCCCAGGAGTCCTGGCTCTTGGATCTAGGCTCCAACCACTGGTTAACACGGCCTGTCTCCTCATTATAAGAGTCACCTCTGCCTGCGGTTCCAGATCCCCCATCCTTGCCTGGTTTTTGACAAGGTCCCACAGGCCGGAGCACATCCCTGGAGAACAGAGACAGACTTACTGTTGCCTCATCATGGGGATGTTCACACAGTTGGCGGCAGCTACGGCCGCGAACGGGACCCAGCGTGCCACAAGGGGCGGGGCTCTCTAGGAAGGAAAGAGACCGAGGTGAGCATGGCCATCACAGCAGGCCTGGAACTGTCCTCGGCGTCCCCTAGGTGAGAGGAGTTGCTGGGCCTCAGCCCAGCAGGAAGCCAGCAGCGTGAGAACTGGCGCCCTCAGCAGGGAGGACAGACTGACTCTCAGGGACTGAGCCCCGGGGCAGGACTGACTGTCAGAAGCAGAGATGCACGGGGAAGCTTGCTCGCTGCCGTATGGGCCAGGCCTTCAATGAAGCCCTCCAACCTTCAGGGCTGTCGGCCAGCACCTTTCACCCAAATCAGACCCAGCCGCTAAATCAGGCAGAAAAAAATCCTGAGACCCAACTCCTTATTCAACCCACTCCCCTGTGCTACAACAGCCTGGCCAGCTGGTAGCTAGTAGCTGTGTCCGGCTGCACCTGGGGCTAGTGCTGGAGTACTGCCGAACGCATCAACAGGGCTGGGAAGATCAGCACCCAAAGGCCTCGCAAGGAGCACATGAGGCAGACCGCAATGAGAAGGGTTTGGGCACTGGGATCTACCCAGAAACCTGCTGGTATCTTCACAAGGAGAGAGAGATGGTCCCAGCAGAAGCCACATTTGCATGGCTGTATGCTAGGGGCGAGCGCGTAGCTGCAAAGGTGCTTCGGACAAGGAACACAACTAGGCATCAGGGTCGTGACCGCCGGGTTATTAAAATGGGAGGAAGGGTGTAGTATGGGAAAGGAGAACCGCTGTATTACAGCAAGGGGATTTTAGCTCCTGGAGTGGACAGGAAAGACCAGATCCCCTGCAGTGTATGCTGAATGCCAGATCTCTGGACCTTTAACGGGGCTGTTGAATCAGCGGCTTGTCCATGGAACTGACACTCCTGCAGAAAGCCTTTGGGGAGAACGCGGAGCAGCTGCAGGTTTGCTTCTGCATTCAACCTGGGGCCGGCTTACGCTCAATTGCAATAGCCATCAGCCGCCTGACACGCAGGGGGCGTCCATGCACCCAGGGAAGCTACCCTGGGCACTGGCGCGGACCTGTCTCAGTGGCACCATCGGAGAAGTGGATCTGACAAGCGGTGGAGCCAGCAGCGCCCGCAAAGGCAAGTCCCCCTGGTTTGCAAGCAGAGAGCCTCCCATGCTGCACCAATGCCCTCCTCAGATACCCCCGTTCCACAGTGTCTTCCCCACAGCATGTACGCATAGTGGAGCCCCCCCTGCGGTACCTTGGTGTACAGGTTGAGTCCCACTGCAGTCGCCAGGGCTGTGCTGGTGGCGGTGACGTAAGCCACTCCGATTTGCCTAGACAGTAATTTACAGGGGGGAATAACAACTCAGCAATTCCCAGAGGCTGCCTGAACAAGTGCCCGTCCCCTGGGAGAGGCTGGGGGGCAAGAGGGACACATCCTGAGCGCTCTCCCAGACAGGTTCAGGATTGGCTCCTGGAAGTCCCACATGGAGCTCCCAAAGGGCTGCGATTCACACCCTTGGAACATTTCCACTTGGGGGAGAGAACGCAGGAAGCGCGGCCTCATGGTTAAGGCACAGGACTGCGAGGTGAGGAAACTGGATTCTGTTCCCGTGCCTCAGTTTCCCCATCTGTGAAATGGGTTGATATTACGTCTCTTGGTGTTTGTAACATGCTTTCTGACCCTTTATGGTAGGGGTCAGAATATTCTTCTTAAGGTGCTGAAATCCTGCAGCTCATTACATGCCCTTGCTGGGATCTAACTCCTAAACTCTCCTCCTTGGCACATCAGATTTAGGCAGCTCCTGCAGTTATCAACTTTCCTAACTTTCCAAAGACGCACAGCCACCTCTGGGGTAGAGGGCAGCAGCCACCTGGCGCACACGCCGCCGCTCTGTGATGCAAAGAAGGGACGTGTTGGCCAAGGACACCAGGGCAGATCGCTGTCCACGCAGAGCGGAATGGACCTTGGTGACTGCAATGTCCCGGGGGAGGGATAGCTCAGTGGTTTGAGCATTGGCCTGCTAAACCCAGGGTTGAGAGTTCAATCCTTGAGGGGGCCATTTAGGGATCTGGGGCAAAAATCAGTACTTGGTCCTGCTAGTGAAGGCAGGGGGCTGGACTCAATGACCTTTCAGGGTCCCTTCCAGCTCTATGAGATTAGGTATATCTCCATATATTATTATTATTCCAGCTCCCCTGCAACTCAGCATATCTACCTGGGTGGGATGAAGGCCCCAGGGCTAGTGTTCCCCAGCAGTCAGCACCTCTGGCAATGGGGTTCACCGGCAGACCCTCCCTTCCTTCCCTCCCCAGTTATAAGTGCCCCTCATCCAGCCCCGTGACACCAGGGAACCAGGAGCTGGTGGCAGCACAGGGCACCCAATGTGGTAGTTCCCATGGCAGTGGAAGGGTTAAACCAGCCTTCTGACCCCAGGGAGCAGCAGGTGCTGCAATGGTCCCTTCCATGGGCGGGTGGGAAGGGCTGCCCCCCCCTTGCGGGTCACCTCTGACGAACTGCTGCTAACATAGAGCCTGGGGAGAGGGACCTCTGGGCGCGTCTAGGGGCTCATGGGAGGGACAGCTCTTCGGTGAGGTCAAAAAGACTCAGGTCCAGATATCTAAGCCAGGCAGCCTCCAGCCCCATGTGCCTTTAGACTCTGCCCTGGGGTTGATCCTGGGCATGACAACAGCAGCGCTATGCCTAGTCACCAGCGCCACAGCCCCTCAGCCGCCACCTGTTCAGAGACAGCCTAGCGATGTCATGGACCAAACAGGAGCCCATCTCACCCAGTGCCCGGGGAGGAATGGCAGGATTGCTCCCGACAGGGCATTTCCTCTCCTGGCAACAGGGCAGATACCTGGGATACATGGGAACCCAGCAGGCCCTGGGGCGGCGGCGGCAGGAGGCCCGGGGCAGATACTCACGTGAGCGAGATGGGGCAGGCCGCGTTCCTGTTGGTGTAGTTCACCAAGGCGTTGAACGACTGGTTCACCCACTGCCAGAAAACCACCGCAGGGACTGTCCTGTCGGGGGGGAAGACACCAGAGCTCAGCCCGTGCGTGCTGCCCTCCTCCCACCCGCCAGAGCACCAAGTCGCAGGGCTGAGCTAGCCCCTTCCTGGGGCTGGGGAACTGCCGCAGGCTGCGGTCAGTGCCCACCTCACAGCCGCCCTGCTGCCAGGGGTTGGCGGGGACGCTCAGGAAGGATAAACGCTGGGTGCGAGACACACAAGACACCCAGACCCCACCCCAGCTGCAGGCACTGCCAGTCTGGAGTCAGATGGGGCCAGTCTTTGGGGGACACAACACACACCCAACCCCTCCCCCACCTGTCCTGAGAGGGCTTTAGAAAGCGTGTGTGTGAGTGTGAGAGAATAAACATCACCCCTATTTCGCCGAGAAGGAAACAGACACAGCGACCTGCCTGAGGTCCCACAGCAGGCAGTGGCAGAGCTGGGAAAAGATCCAGGAGTCCTGGCTCCCATTCCACAAGGCCATGCTCCACTAGAGCAGCAAGGTGGCCAAGCAGCGGGCAGGAGCCTGGGCTCTCAGCTGGGCAGGGAGGGCTCCTAGGGGATTTGTTCATTACTGCCGAGCTCAGGGGCGGGGCTGTGGTGGGCTCCGCCCCCACAGCCACTCACTCCACCAGGCACTACATCAACCTGGCTGAGTTCTGCTCCACAGCCTGGCGTGTCCCTACCCCTTTGAAGGGAAGAACGGTCTGTGGTGACGGTGTGTGGGTGGGACTAAGGATCCTGGCAGAGATCCCCAGCTCCGCCAGCAACTCATGGGGACTCCTCGGGCTCCTCACTCCCTGCACCTCAATTTACCCATCTGTCAAATGGGGGCAGAGGGGATTCGTTCCTTGTCTCACTTGGGTTGCCAGCGTGACTTCACTGTCTGCAAAGCACTTGGGGATCTGTGGGCAGAGGGGGGATAGAAGTGAGAGGATCTTTCACAGGCCAGTTGGGGACTGGATGCTCTGCCCTTTAAAGGCCAGGAAAGGGATAAAGATAATGGCTGAGAGTATCTTGAGCCAAACAGTTTATTGCTCAGGCAAAGGGAGACTCCACCTTCATTAATCCGATTGGTCATTACCTAGGGACTGGCAATCCAGGTAGCCAATGGCAATACGAGTTTAGAAAAGAGGCAGAGCTAAGGGTCTTTTTACTCCTCCCCCTCCTAAAGAGGAGGTCTTGTCAGGCTCCTCCCAGAGGAGAGCAAACCAACCCACCAGCGTCTGACTCTACACTAGAGCTGGAAAAGGTCCCAGCCTAGTCTGTTGTCTGGCGTCAGGGCAGGATCATTCCCTACAGAACATTCTCCTTGAACGGTATAGGAGGGACATGGAGGAAGGCAAACACGGGGGAACCTTTTAATTCCACTGACACACACCAGAGCAGGAGAGGTTTTTCCAAGGGCGAGAAAGGAAACATTGTGCTACAGATTAGGAACGGTCTCTCTCCAACAGCGGCACTCGCTGGGAGAGGTGGGATCCAGGATTTCAGAGGCTACAAAGGAACCAGGAGAGGCAAGTTTAAAAAAAGAGCAGGCAGAGCCCAGGACTGGCTTTGGGTTAATAATTAAAGGGCTTTTAATCAACAGCAGAATCGGTTAATAAGATAAAAAAGAAAAACATGCGAGTGAAGCAAAGGAAAGACATGGTTTTAATTGGGCAAAGGACTCACTTTTTGCCCAAATATTTGGATGCGTTAGAGGCCAGGGCAGAGAGGAGGGATTTAAATCTAATGAAACAGAAATGTTAGCAGGCCTTTTTTTTAAAATGGTGTCTTTGTGCTGCGTTTTAACATTTCCCTGCCGGGTTGCAGATCCCAACCCGGCCATGTCTTGCTGGAACCTGACAACGAAACTGATCAGAAGGCGGGTCAGTGAAATTGACCAGTTTACCTTTCACCCCTTTTTGAAACTAACAACCCCCCCCCCCCCAAAAAAAAGATGAATTAGCAGAAATGGTGACAAGTAATTTCACTTGCTGTAACCTCAGAGCAAGGACACGTTTCCTCCACAAGCTCAGGGTTTCTATGGTGACCACATTTAAGCTCCTGTGGCTGGGTGGAAGGGCCAGAATTTCAAAACATGGCGGAGGAGGAAGCTGTGGGGGCTTGGCACAAGCCCGGACTGCGTAGCTATCGGTGCAGGTATTTGTTAGGTCAGGCATGGGCATAAGTTAAGGCAGTAAAGTAATGATCTTGCAGGCCTCAGTCCTGTAAGAAAATAGCTTGGCTAAACAAGGCATACAGCCCAAAAGACTTAACTGCTTATGCTAACTAGGAGTAGGCCTAGATCATAAGATATGGGCTACCTAGGGAGGTGGTGGAATCTCCTTCCTTAGAGGTTTTTAAGGTCAGGCTTGACAAAGCCCTGGCTGGGATGATTTAGTTGGGGATTGGTCCTGCTTTGAGCAGGGGGTTGGACTAGATGACCTCCTGAGGTCCCTTCCAACTCGATATTCTATGACACCACGGAGGGTTGTCTGACCACAAGAATGCCATGGTAACTAATTGGCATATACGCTAATAAGCTTGAAGTAAACGAACATGTAACCTATGGGAGAAGGGCACCCCAACATTAGTAGGGCGAGGAAATACAAAGAAAACCCTCCTAAACATGCATTAAGCACAGAGGCGTCAGCATAACACATTATAAAAGTTGTATCCCCGCCTGTATGCCTTGGGGAGATGTAACACATGGGAGATGCCAGGATGATGACGACTGGTGACACTGAGGGTGAGGAGGACGAACACTTTGAGTCCTTCTGCAAAGGACGGTGGGAGTATACAGATGCTCAGATGCCCACTCTGTATTAGCTCCATCTACCATGCTGGGCTGGAGTGTTTGCAACTTCACTAAGTGTGTTAATAAAACTAGTACAAATACAGAAGCTATTTCCTAAGAGTGAGCGTTGCAACCGTGCACATCGGGGTTCCCAACTGAACCGTAATTTTAATAATACTGGGCCTGATCTCGGGAGTGTTGATGGGGAATTCTTAAGTAATCAATATAATTAATACACAATCTCTAGATCAGGCAACAACTATATGGAGAGGAGAGGGAGGACTGAGAGGCTAGCCCAAAGGTCGTGAGCCCCAAGGTCGAGGGCAAGCACATAGTGCAAAGAATACAACCTGTAAATAACATTCTAGCAGCGTATTAAAAGTGCTACTTAGGCCCATCTGTCTCCCTGCATGATGATCACCAATGTTTCGGGACAGGGGTCAGATCAAACATGAGATTGGATTGAAAATTCTGGGGAAATTACATTGCCCATGAGGTTTCAAAGGTCCTGGCCATGTTAATAGTTCAGGAGGACGCTGCACTGAGTGGTCAGAAAGGCTCGGAGATGGAAGATCAGGTTTCTCTTCACGTGGTCCGGCCCTTGCATCTCCCCTCTAGCGAGGTGTTTATGCCGTGCCCATTACCATGGCATCCATGCTGGTGGGATTGACATTAGAATCCACGGTGCTGCTGAGTCTGTCCCCCCTGCCCTTCGCCACCAGGAGGGAGCTAATCCATACGGTCTGACGCGGCTTCCTGCAACTCACTGCGGTCAATTCCCTGCTCAGCCTAACAGGGACAGCTTTAAAGGGGGACTGGGAAAGGGGCTCTCGCTGCCCCCTGCAGCCCCTTACCTGTAAAACTGCAGCATGAAGCCAGTGATGGCCATTCCCCCGGGCACCTGAAAGGACATCCTCCCAATCAGGTTCATCTTCTCGCCAGAGTCTGGGTGGAACGCAGAGTCGTAGAGCTTCTTGGCGTAGAACAGCTGTTCCTGGCTGGTTCCTGGGGGAACCAGGCCAGCCCTGCAGGTAACAGAAAGGGCAACGTCCTGGGAGTTTGTCAGCTCACCATCCCCACCTAGTATCAGACTCCTGCTAATCTCCAGCCTTCGCATACTGCCATGCCTGCAGGGTGTCTACAGAATGGGCTTAGGTGAGCATGGCTCAGCTGGGGCAAGGATGTGTTTGGTATATGCTCTGAAAGGGGAGCTTCCATATTCTCCCCCTCGGTATCCCCGCACTAAGCAAGACCCCTGCTCTCCAGCCCCACCACCTCTCGGATGTCCAGATACCATCACCACCTTACCTACCCGGAAGGGCTGCACGAGAGCTCCCTATGGGACCTGCCGGTGCAGATCCTTAAGAAGCCAAAGACTCTGCTTCGCAATGTGAGATGCTCCTCCTGATCCCAACCCCTGGGGCTGAGCACATGCCATCTACTGGCTGGCATGGGGTTGCTCCCGCTCTCGGCTGGACCGAACGTACGGTCTGCTCCAGCACATGCTATGTCACCCCCTTGTGGTGACGAGGGTACAATACCACTGCTGAACAGAGAGGGAAGCTTTCCTCACCCCAGAGGTTTACCTCTCACATACAGCAAGGGCAGGCTGCAAACAGCCTTCTACCTTCCTTCAGATCCAGTGGCCACCCGGCCATTTACCTGCAGCTTTCCACCAGCGCCTTAGCCCTGTCCAGCTCATGTTCCGACACCAGCACCGTCCGCGGGTCTGTGATGTTGAAGAAATGCTTTAGGCGCCCCAGAAAAGTGCTCTGGTCCCAGCGCGGGGCGTCAATGCTAAAATTGGTCAGCCTGGTCATCGTTTTAGCGGGGATCTGGAGGGGAAAGAGAAAGGGGAGAACTTTTAAGAGGAAACCTTCCCCTAACCCCTGCAAGGTTCCTGTACGAGAGTACTGCCATGTGATCGGCTTTCAGTCAGCACTTCCCCATCAAATGGCCTGGTGAGCAAACACGGGAGAAGATCCTTCCCTCCCAGGGCCAGGAAGAAAACCCAGTGAATAAGAGTTAGGAGTAGACCTCAGGAGTTGCTCAATCCACTAGCCCAAACTGCCTTTCGGCCTAGCCTCCCTTTCTAGCCAGCCTGGATTTAAGCCGACAGGTTTAAAAAAAACAAAAATCCTCTAGCCAGACCCCTTCCAGAGTTTGATTTCTGAAAAGAGCTGGGCAGGTAACCCCAGGCCAAGCCAGGGGAAGGAGTAAAGGGAAGCTGAAGTCAAGGTACTCCACCTTCGATCCTATAGTAAAGGCTTCCTCCCTGGAGGCCTGGTGCCCCCGCTCCATTGGGGCACATGGCCCTGTCTCCTTCCACCCCACCTTCCATCCGTGCAGCTCTCCTTGTTAGCTAGCCTGCCTCCCCTGCTCTGCCTGCTTCATTAGCCATCTCACCCTGCATCACAGGGCGTGCGACATACTATGGAGCGGTGAGAAAACACATGCAGCTAAAAATAAGCCCTGGCTAATGTGCTTCTCTCTCCAAAGTGCGCCAGGCTTTAGCAAAGTATTTAATTAGCCACCACGAACTTCTTTTCCTTGCCTGCAGATTATAGTGATCTCAGCCCAAGAAGCCCTGGAATGTGATTCCTTCTGAGGATAAAAAACAACGAGGAGTCCTTGTGGCACCTTAAAGACTAACAAATTTATTTGGGCATAAGCTTTCGTGGGCTAAAACCCACGTCATCAGATGCATGGAGTGGAAAATACAGTAGGCAGGTATAAATACACAGCACATGAAAAGATGGGAGTTGCCTTACCAAGTGAGGGGTCAGTGCTAACGAGGCCAATGCAATTAAGGTGGAAGTGGGCTATTCTCAACAGTTGACAAGAAGGGGTGGAAATCACTTTTGGGGTGTTAATGAGGCCAATGTAATCAAGGTGGCCCATTTCAAACAGTTGACAAGAAGGTGTGAGTATCAGCAGGGGGAAATTAGTTTTTGTAGTGACCCATCCATTCCCAGTCTCTATTCAGGCCTAATTTGATGGTGTCCAGTTTGCAGATTAATACCAGTTCTGCAGTTTCTCGTGGGATTCTGTTTTTGAAGTTTTTTTGTTGAAGAATTGCCATTTTTAAGTCTGTTATTGAGTGTCCAGAGAGAATGAAGTGTTCGCCTACTGATTTTTGAATGTTCTAATTCTTGATGTCTGATTTGTGTCCATTTATTCTTTTACATAGAGACTGTCTGGTTTGGCCAATGTACATGGCAGAGGGGCATTGCTGGCACATGATGGCATATATCACATTGGTAGATGTGCAGGTGAACGTGCCCCTGATGCTGTGGCTGATGTGATTAGGTCCTATGATAGTGTCCCTTGAATAGATATGTGGACAGAGTTGGCAACTGGGTTTGTTGCAGGGATTGGTTCCTGGGTTAGTGTTTTTGTTGTGTGGTGTGTAGTTGCTGGTCAGTATTTGCTTCAGGTTGGGGGGCTGTCTGTAAGTGAGGACTGGCCTGTCTCCCAAGGTCTATGAGAGTGAGGGATCATCCTTCAGGACAGGTTGTAGATCCTTGATGATGCGCTGGAGAGGTTTTAGCTGGGGGCTGTAGGTGATGGTTAGTGGCATTCTGTTACTTTCTTTGTTGGGCCTGTCCTGTAGTAGGTGACTTCTGGGTACCCTTCTGGCTCTGTCAATCTGGTTCTTCACTTCACCAGGTGGGTACTGTAGTTTTAAGAATGCTTGATAGAGATTCTGTAGCTGTCTCTGTCTGAGGGGTTGGGGCAAATGCGGTTGTATCTTAGAGCTTGGCTGTAGATAAAGGATCGTGTGATGTGGTCTAGATGAAAGCTGGAGGCATGTAGGTAAGTATAGCAGTCAGTAGGTTTCCGGTATAGGGTGGTGTCTGAGGATATGCTCAATTGAGACATAATATTGACTTGGTGTCCAACAGAATGTAGTAAGAAGAGCATGGAATCGATTTTTAACAACACTATGGAGCTGCTTGTGACTGACTTTGTGACTATACTTGCCTGGGCATGCGCGTATGTGTATATATAATTCTCTGTTGAATACTCTGAACATTTTGTTTAGTGACATTTTTGACTCCTGAGTGCTTAAACAGCTACAAGCAGCAACTTTTCAAGATTTGTCTGGCGACTTCCTGCTATGTGGAGTTGGCAACGTTGCCAGGCTGAGTCGCTATGGGGTCCTCACTCCTGGTCCTCTCTGCTCTGACCTTCCAACTCTGGTGTTACAACGGACACCTGCTCCCTAGGAACTGTACTGGGATCCCATAGCTCATTGCATGGAGGCTGCCACACAGCCATCATGACCTTTGCCTTCCCATCTGGACTGGAACTGAACCAGCAATCTAGGATGAGAACAGCTCCTTGCCCCATACCCATTCCCCTGAACCAGCCTGGCCCAACATCAGCCAAGCGCTGATGTTGCGGGACAGTGGAGGTTTCAGATGCTTTGCCTGCTGGCACTTTATTCGGGATTTTTTTTAACCCCACTGATTGAACTTCCCATGGAGTTTAAGCCCCTGGAATTCTGGACTGGATCCCTCTGGAAGTTCACCTGAAAAATACAGTCTGCCTTAAAGAGATTTCTGTCCTGCTGCCAGGAACAGAGCCACCTAGCTACCTAGCAGGAGAGTGAATCCACAGAGCAGCCTTTACCAACACACTATTTACTTATATCACACCATCAAATGCACATTAAATGCACCACGCTCCCCAACCCCACTTAGCACTAATGCAATATTAAGGTTGATAACGCTTAGCCTTCCTTTAAATAGGTCTGTCCACATTCCACATGCTTCACGGACACTATCTAATTAATCAAAGACTTTCAAACGCTCAGACTTCCGGAGAAGTTAATGCTGCCCTTAGTACATTAACTTTGGCACATTGCACATCCTGCTCATTTCACTAGGGGATTTAACAAGCAAGCAATATACTAAGTTGTATAGTTAACAAAGAACACCGGAAGCTAGGACACTGAATTTCAGCAACATTGAGAAAGTAGCTTTAACTTGGCATTCCTAGTCATCGTTTTTCATAGATTCCCAGGCCAGAAGGGACCATTGTGACCATCTAGTCTGACCCCCTGTATAGCACAGGCCTTCTGAGCACTTGACCCAACCCTAAACTTGCAGTATCAAGACCACTTTTTTGCAATTAATTTCCCTGTGGTTTTTAAAGCCGAAGGAGACAGCTGAAGGTATTTTGCTTGGGCAATTTGCAGTCTGTGCTAACAGAGCTCGTAAATTCTTTGATCCTGGGCCTATGCCAGAGACTTTTAGCCCAGCGGTGCACTCTCAGTTTATAAATACTGCAAACTTCCTCTATTCTTGATGGACTTTATAACGTCCTTGGATATGGAATTATTTGGCCTGTAGAGTATACAAGATCCATCAGCTTGGTTAATGGACTGAGTAGGTTTGTCGTTATCAAACCCCGCAAGACGACAGAAGTTCTAAAGAAAAATCTGCAAGATGGGCAACTTCTGACCTCGTTGGCTGATAAATGCCAAGTATTCTCATTCTTGTAGTCTAGAGAGCCAGCAATCATTGCAGTACTGGCCTGGGATCTAGGAATGCCAGAGTCCTAATCATAGGGACATAGGCCTGGAAGGGACCTCCTGGATCTGCATCTGTTCCAATTTAAATTCCCCTTTTTTGAACACAGGTGAGCAGAATTGGATTGTTTTTCAGCTGAGGCCTGTCCAGTGCCTTGTGCAATGGTATTAATACTTTCCCATCCCTTTTTTGAACACGGGTGAGCAGAATTGGATTGTTTTTCAGCTGAGGCCTGTCCAGTGCCTTGTGCAATGGCATTAATACTTTCCCATCGCTACTGGACATACCTCCTAGGATTGCATTTGCCTTTTTCCACAGCCACATCACAATGGTAGCTCGTAGTCATCCTGTGATCAATTAATACACCCAGGTCTTTTTCCTGTCACTTTCAACTGTGGCGCCCTCAGCTTTTAGCAGAAAATTATTAGACCCTCAGTGCATGACCTTGTGTTTTGTACTAGAAATGGTATAACATTTAATATTACTCCAGTCTTCTAGATCATCCAGTTCTTCCTCTCTAATATTCCAATCTTCCTACATATTGACAGTGCCTCCCAATTTTGGGTTTTCAGTAGATTTCACTAGCGCACTCCTACTTTTCATGCCCAGGCCATGAATGAAAATATTAAAGATTAGACCCAAGAACGAACCTTGAGGAACTCCATTAGGAACCTCCCTCCATCCCGACAGTCCTTCAGCGCCACCCATTGCCATCTCCCCTTTAGTTAGTTCCTTCCCCATTTTACAGTTCTGTACTAATCTTCATCTTGTCCCGTTTAACTAATAATTTCCTGTGGCGTTGTATCAAATGCTTTATTGACGTCCAAATAGATTAGATCTACTGAATTTCCCAGCTAAAATAATCCTTTACCTTATCGAAAGAAATATCAGGTTTATCCGGCACTATTTTTGGTAAACTTGTGTTGCATTTCATCGCATTTTCCATTGACCTCCATGTTGTTAATTATTTGTTCCTTCAAAATTTGTTCTAAAGCCTTACATACTGCTGAGGTCAGACTAATGGGTCTATAGTTTCCCAGATCACTCCCCCCCGCCCCTTTGTTAAATATAGACACTATATTTACTATTCTCCATTCATATTTACCACACCCAATTTGATAGATGTATTAAAAATCCTTGCTACTGGACTTGCAATTTCAAGTATCTATTCTTTCAGTGTTCTGAAATGACGATTATCTGGTTCCCCAACCAGAACACAAACTCTTTGAGCTTTGCTTCCTACCTCAGATGTGGTTATTTCCATTTCTAGATGCTCATTCACACTAGTCATCCTG